GAGTGTAGCATCTGTAGATCTGGCACATGAAAACCTATAATCTTTCAGTTGCTATCTCTTTCCCAACCCAATGCCTGAATGGAAAGAACTCTGAGGTCTTAGAGAATAGAAAAGTCACCCCTAAGATGCCTAGATATTAGACTATTATGTGATGTTGGAGATAAAGTCTGTGGTGGTTCATTTTCAAGGCAAAACAATTAACCCTAAGTGGAAAAACTACTGGTCACTTGCTAACATAACTGCTTGGGGATGTAACAAAGCTCAAACACCTGGAAAGTCACTAACAAGGTGTTGGGGAGGGGCCATGATAAAATGAGGAAATGGGTAAAAACTATGTACGTGCTCAAAAGCAAGTATTATAGGGAGGTGTTCCCACTACAAAGAGACAAAGGGAGGTGGAGACTTAAGCCAGCTTCTAAAATTTGACCAATCCCCAGAGAGGCATATTTTAAAATAGCCTAATAGAAAATTTAGGCGACTATGGGAAAGAATGTACACCCCATAGTACTCCGCCAATGAGGAGCCGGGGGAGTGCCTTGCACACTAAAGAATATAATACTTGTAACTGCTTTGGGTGTGTCTGCCAGCCAGACACCTGATCTTGCAAGACCATAATTAAAGTCTTACTTTTGCTGTACTTCATGTGTCTCTGAGTCCATTCTTTGGGTTTGGACAGATAAGTGTGTTCTAACATGTGAGTGAAAAGAAAATGAATATTATGTTAAGATACAAAAATGTTTGTATTGTTTTCTTAAAATAATTAAACTGCTCTCACACAAAAATTAGCACAAGTAATTGGAATCTCCTACAATACACTCTAAAAAGATGTTGTTGGCTTAGTGGGTGTAGTCAGATGGAAAGCTATGCATTCGTGTTATGCAGGGCCTATGGCAACTTGGAAGGCAGATTAGATTCTATTGCAAATGAGACTGGATCTAGGTAGTGGGATGGAAAACTAATTATAATCAGTATGATTGATTGTTATTTGGAACATTTAGCATGATGCTGGGTGAAGGAGACGGGTTCAGGTAAGATTTGGCAGGGTGGTTTGCTTTTTTTTTTTTTTTTTGGTGGTGGTAGGCATTGAACCAATGGCCTTTTCATGGTACACAAGAACTCCACCACTGGCAACAACCCTGCCCCAGAGTTAACTGATTTGAAAGCAAAAATTGAAAAGAATCAATATAGTCACAATGTATCGTAGCTATCTTAAAATATTTAAGATGTCTTGAATAAGATTTTGAACAGAAAATTCAGAAAAATTAAGAGAATCAACATAATTTATAGCCATTGCTAAAATTTTGTATGTTCCTTTACCCAGGAATTTGCACAATTATAAACATACATAAAACATATACCATGGATCAACAGTTAAAATAAGATTTGAAAAATTTCCTCAATCATTATTGCGAGCAAGTTTACATTTCATAAAATATTCTTATACATAATTATGTTTTGTGTGCTTACTTTATGGCGATCATAATTTATTGTCAATAACTTATTGCTAGTTATGTGTTATTATAAACAATGCATATATTAGAGCCAAATATTTTATTCTTTTTTTCTTGGCAGTACTGGGGTTTGAACTCAGGGCTTCATGTTTACTAGGCAGGCATTCTACCACTTGAATCATGACCTTAGCCCAATATTTCACTCATATATTTATAGAACTTGAATTTCAGGACCAAGGAGTATATACATTTTGAAGACTTTCTATATGCAATCACAATCCTTCAGAAAAATTTTACTTATATATATTTGCCAATAGCTAGGAATGCATATTTTAAAAATTTGCTCAAGCATATTATTTATATAACAAAGTACCACAAACTGGGTGTCAAAATGAAGTTAAATCTATTATCTCAGAGTTCTGGAGATTATATGTCTGTGTTAGTCTGATTTTCCTTACTATGATAAAATACCTGAGGTCAACTTAAAGGGGGAAATACTTGTTTTGGCTTATGGCTTCAGAGGTTTTAGTCCATAATCACTTGGTTCCATTGGTAAGGGCCTGTGGCAAGGCAGGATACATGTTGGGGAGGGCATGGCAGACCAAAACTGCTCACCTCATGGCATCCTGGAAACAGAGAAAATGAGAAAGGGGTTAGGAACAAGATATACTATTCCAGGTCACGTCCCTAATGGTGTACTTCTTCCAACTGGGTCCCACCTCCTAAAGTTTCCATCACCTCCACAAAATGCCATCAAATTATGAATCCATCACTAGATTAACCTACTGATGAGGTCAGACCCCTCAAGATTCAATTACTACCCCAAACCCATCAGCTAAAACTATACCTTTCTAAGGAGACAATTTAGATCTAAACCACAACAAGGTCAAAAATCAAAGCATCAGAAGAGTTGGTTCCTTCTGAGGTCTGTGGAACAAAGATGTTTCAGGCTTCTCTTCTTGGCTTGTAGATGACTGTCTTCTTCCTATGTCTTTTCACATTATCTTCCTTTCATGTGTATCTCTGTGTGCAAATTTCTCCTTTTCATAAGGACACCAGTCATATTTGATTATGGCCCACTCTACTGATTTTGTTTTAGCATGCTTAGTTCTGTAAATACCCTATCTCCCAATATCTCTAAGGTCTTGGGGGTTAAAATTTCAACAGTGAATTTTGGAGGGACATAATCCTTGCCCACACCTCTGTATTATCTCTACTGCTCTGGCCTTGCTCACTGCAGGTCAGCTACACAGGACTTTGATCATTATCTTGACGAAGGCAGACTTTTTCCTGCTTCTGCTTTCATGTTACCTTCTCATCCCTTATGCTTTGTATCAAGCCACTTCTTGACCAATCTAAAGTATACTTCTACCATCTCTATTACATTAGATGTTTCATTTTCTTGAAGACACTTAAAAAGGACATTGTCTTAATTACTTGCTCATTATCTAAGAATTCCTCCCCTGAAACTAGAAGGTAAATTATTGTTCATCACTCGCTTTCCCAGAGCCATTATAATACCTCATGTACGGTACATGGTCAATAAAAATTAATGAAGAATGAATGAATAAATGAATGAATAAACAAATCCTGTAAGATGGTGCACAAACATAAGAGTTAATGAGAAAGACATAGCATTTTTGCTAGCTTGAGATAAAGATAACTATAGGGAGAGATTCCTAGCATTGCTTCCATGCACATGAAGACACCTGTTTTAAAACCTCTCAAAGTAGATATTTAAGGACAAGCTCTTACTAATCAAAAGATAAATGTTAAAGGGTCTGGCTGTCTTTCAATTTGTGAAGTATTTTATTGAGAATTTTGGTTTTTGGCAGTGCTGAGGTTTGAACCATGAGCTTCACACTTGCTAGGCAGGTGCTTTACCACTTGAGCCATACCTCCAGCCCTGTGAAGTATTTTAAAAGCAATATTTGTCATTAAGTTAAACGTTGTTACACCTGCATTCCAAAGGAAAGAATGATTTCTTCTTGGTACCTAGTGTTGCTTGAAAGAGAAATCAAGCTCTAATTTTGTGTCATCCCTTTGCCCTGGTTGGTGTGCTATTTTCGTCTTACTAATCTGTTAAGTGACCTTAGGGAAGTCACAGCATGTAGCATGTCTTTTTTCCTCAGGACAGGAAGTGAAGACCAAGACCATTAGTTCTCCACTTTTATCAATGACTGCAACTACCTACCTATGTGACCTTGGACAAGGTTTATATTACTTCCTATCATTAAAACATAGATAATAGCCACCACACAAGAATGTAGCAAGGATTAGTACAATAAAATAAATGAAGTATTTGGCATACAGTAGCTGCTTGATATTATGTCTCAATTATTATAATATATAATCTTTAGCTTTTTTAAAACAGACCTTATCCATCAATGGATTTGCCAACAGATTTAGATTACATAGTTTTCCAGACTCCTACTCATTTTAACTATTACTCAGTGACCTCTTTTTCACAAACTCTCTCAAGATAATTAATTGCAGTTGAGGCAATGAGAGTTGTACATATCTATCTGCATTATGAATGTCAAAAGCGGTTAAGATTTTAAGTGGCAGACAGCTAAGGTACCATGGAAGTCCAAAGGAGGAAGAAATTGCTTTCATCTTCAAGGGTTGAGGCACAGAGTAGAGAAAGGAATTTGAGCTAAACTTTGAGGGTGTTACTACTAAGTAGATTTTCTCTGCATAGCCCAAAGATTAATTACTTTCTCCTCTAGAGTATGCCTCACCACTTTGCACTTTTATGATTAACTTTATAAATTAGATTCTGATTCTTGTTAGATTATAGTTATTGCATGCTCTTGTCTTTCCATTACTAAATTTCCAGCAGCTGATTAAAATCCCAATTGTAATGAGGGGAACAACAGAATGATGTTTGGACGTAGGCTTCGTCCCACCATGAGAACGTGGCTCTGAACTGACTTTAATTTAAGGCTATACAACTTACTTAGCTTGGGTTAATGATTTTGGGTGTTGCCAGAAAAAATACAGGACATCCAGTTAAATTTGAATTTCCGATAAACAATGAATAGCTTTTTAGTTTAAATCTATCCCATGCAATATTTAGGGCATACTGAAAATAGTGTATCTGAAATTTTACATTTAACTGGGCTTTTTGTGTTTTTATGTGCTCCACTGTACAACCCAGGTGGGGATGAAGTCAATCTAGTTTATCTTCCAAATCAGGGTATTTTTTGTAGACTGCAAGTCAAAACACAGGGACAATGCTCTGAGCATGGTTGTCCTTATTAAACGGTTTTCTAAAACGTGAAAACAAAGTTTAATGAAATTGGAAACAAAAATCCAAGCTGCATCGGGAGACTCGTAGCTCTGCCTACAGAGTGCCAGCAAGGCCCGGATGAAACGTCCCACCCAGGTGTAAAGACCACACTTGCTCCCGGGGAAAGGCAGCGGGCGGAGGACTCTGCGCATGCGTACATCTCAAGGGGTAGCTGCCCGTCGGCCCCGCCCCGTAGAGTCACGTGGGCCAGCGTGCGGCGAAAGAAGGGGCCGGTCACGTGACCCAGGCCCCGTGCCACGCAGGGATGGAGCCGGAAGAGGGTGCGCCCTTGCGGCGGCTGCAGAAGCTGCCCCCTGAGCTGGGCGCGCAGGTGAGGGGTCACTTCGCGGGCCCCACAAAGGGAAGAAGAAGGGCTGCGGCTTCGGGCGGCCGGCCCCTGCCTTCTCTAGGGACCGTCGGGGGCGGCCACGTCGCAGGCCCGACTCGGCTTAGCTGCCCTGGGCTTTGCGTGCAGATGCGGGCGGCCCACCGGCTCCCCGCGCCCGGACGGGGAAGGCGTCCGGCGGGAGTCAGTAGTCTGCAGCCGCCTGGGCACGTTACATTTCATTCTTTCATTAGACACAGATCTCCGGGTCGCTCCCTGGATACCTGGCTCTACTTGGTGCTGAGGTACCGAGGGGACCTGAGCAGGTCCCGCTTCCCCCAGAGGGCGGTCAGGAGTAAACTTGGAATAACTGGGCGACTTCGTTTAGCAGGGACTCCAGGTGAGAAGCTCTTGACACCTGGAATGCAGGGAGGTGCTTTCCAGGCCTGGGAGGATGTGGTAAGGCAGTGACACTCAGATGGTCAGCCAGGTGAAATTCCATGGCCATCTGTGTGGGTCAGGGTCCCATGGGGTGAGGAGAGATGGGGACTAGGACACAGCTTGTGTCCCGCTGGAGCGCCTTCATAAAAGGCCCGATTTTAGCCCTCTTTTCTCGTTTGCATTTACAGAGGAGAAAGAGTGTGTGTGTGTGTGAGAGAGACAGAGATGGGGACATAAGAGAATTGGTTGCACTCCTGCCACAGTCAAGAAAATGCCAAGTCTTTTGTTTGGCTTTAAAAGTAGGAAAGTGAAATATCAGCAGAAGAACGGAGTAACTGGTCTGAGGTTGGCCAGCCAGGAAGTGGCAAGCTCTTCTTTCCCCTGGACCCATTCCTGTAACCGCCTGTCACTTGGTAGCACTACCACTCTTCCCAGTCACTTGACTTCGTTCTTTCCACACTTCTTTTCCTTTTTTTTTGGTGTTACTGAGGTTTGAACTCAGGGTTTCCTACTTGATAGGCAAGTGCTCTACCACCACCCCTAGTCCTTTTGCTTTTACTTTGCGTTTCAGATAGTCTTGTACTTTTGCTTGGAGGGCCTCAACCCTCCTCCATCTCTGTAGCTGGGACTACAGGAGTGCCTCACCACACCTGACTTCTTTTGCTTCTTTACTGCCTCCATTTTGAGTGGTCTCAACGATGTAACTCCTCGTAATCTTTTGCATGTAAACTGAAGATGGGGCCTTTGGTCTCACCCTCTCTTCTTTTGTCTCCCAACCTGTTGGCAAATTTATGGAAATTTGTGAGTAGGTTTTTATTGCAAATAATGCAAATATGTGAGTAGGGTTTTTGTATTGTGCTAAAGGCCTTTATAATTTGGTCCCTACTGAGCTTTCCAGTTTTGTCTCCTCTCATCCTCCTCTATCTCCATAATTTCCCACTATCCCCAAACTGGGCGGTGTGGGTTTACACTTTGATCCTGTGTATATGTATGCAGCTGCTTGTTACTGGAAACGCCCTTCTCTCCTGTTTGCCTTTAAGACTTAGCCTGTACCTTTTTTCCTCCCTGTACAGCATTCCACCTGCTTAAATGCCTGATATAGCCTTATCATTGTGAATTGCATTTATTAATATTTTTGTGTTTTTCTGAGAGAGTAAAGCTCTATTATAGTAGGACCTATTCTTAGTGTTCTCATCTGTAAAACAGAAATAATCACAATACTTAGCTCAGGATGGTACTGAGGATCAGTATAATGCTTGGTACCTAGTTAGCGGTTCATAAATGATAAATGTTGGGATTTTTGTTTGTTTTTCCATTGCCTTAATAAATGCAACAAAATATTCAGGACGCTTATGAATGAATAAAAAAACAAGATAGCATTTTAATTTTTTCACCTTGAGCTCTGTGATTTGCTTTAGCATGGGGGGAGTGTAGGAGATAAGATGGGCTATATGTAGAGAAGTTTTAATATTGAGTATGTTGGTTGATTTATGGTACATAAAAATGCTATTTGTCATAGCATTAGCCACTGTATGGAAGTGAAAGTCACCAGTTTCTCCTGTGTTCTGGTACGTGTGGTGTAATAGGGGAAGAGTGACTGCTCAAAGTGGAAAATGATCCAGAGGATGAGAGTTGGAAGACTTGCCGCTTAGATGCCTCCTGAGAAAGATAATCATGAATCTTTGCCTACAATGGTTCTGGCACAGTAGGTTCTCAAATAATATGTATTGAAGGCTTGGATCATGGGAACAGTAGTTTGATAAGAACAAGAAAGGCTAGTGCTGTTTAACTACCTTGTACATGCCATGAATGTGCCATGTACTCTGCACTTACTCTTCAGTAATTCATAGGAAATTGTGAGGCTGGATGATATCCTCTTTTTACAGAAACAGAGATTTAAGTAAAACTAGAAAATAGTGGAACTGGGATTCGTACTAGCCAGTGTCATTCCCAAATTCAGTCTTTATGTTCAGTTGTGCATGGGTTAGGATCGCCATGACTTGTATTAAGGTAGGGTAGAGGGAGCGGAATGTGAAAAAGGGAAAGAATGGTACTGCGAGCTTTCTTGGAGTGGAGCAAAAGAAATAAATGTGAAGGTTGTGAAAATGGAGGCGAAGCAAAATAGTTTATTGAGCTTCAATAAAGGACTTTGATACAACCATCAGACTCTTCCTTTGGTTATTGATATAAATACGTGGAGGGATCCTGAGGTAAAACCTTTACACTTACTGTCTTCCTTCAGGCACATTGGAAAAACAACAGTGTACCTTGAAAATCATTTTAGCTTCTGAAGGTGGACATAATAATAGCCTGGAATTTTTGTAGAGTCCTAGTTTTTAACTAATAAGAATCTTAAAAATTATATTCAGCTTAGCTTCTTTTGCAGATATCAGGAACCTCTAACATTTGTTTGGTACAAGGAAGACGCTTTGTAATTTTCCTTAATTTCTTTCTTTTTCTGTTCAGTTTCTTCACAAAGTCATTGATGGCATCTGTGGCCGGGCTTATCCTGTGTATCAGGATTATCACAGTGTTTGGAATTCAACAGAATGGAAGCATGTTGTGGAAGATGTTGCCAAGTTTTTCAAAGCTGTAGTTGGTAAAAATTTATCCCATGAAGAGGTAAACTCACTCCAAATTTCTATACCTAATAATCAATAATGTTACAGGGTGCTGGTGGCTCACACCTATAGTCCTAGCTGCTCAAAGATCAGGAGGATGGCGATTTGAAGCCAGCTTGGTCAAATAGTTTGTGAAAATACCCAACAAAAAAGGCCTAGTGGAGTGACTCAAGTGGTACAGCGCCTCCATAGCAAGCATGAGGCCCCCCTGAGTTCAAACCTCAGTGCTTCCAAAAAAAAAAAAGAGGCCCAGATTTCTTTAATATTGACCTTTAGAGCACTATTTCACACAGGGTCATTATTATCAGTAAGTATTGTCTATATTATACAACAACTAAAACCTCCTAAGTAAGTGAGAAAGCTGATTGTGGAATTTCTGGAGTTTTGCAGTTTTGTTTTTAGTTATTTTTACTCTTTAAATTAAATTATGAAACATTTAAAGAATACAGAAGAAAACAGGAAGCTATGTAATCAATACCTGTGGTCCCATTACCATGATTAACAGTTGTTAACATTTTAAGTTTTTGTTTGTTTATAGGCTTCTTGTGTCCTAGGTAGGACATCTACCATTCTACTGCAGAGCTGTACTCCGAACCCTGTACATTTTTTTTCTTTTCTTGGTGGTTCTGGGGTTTGAATTCAGGTCTGTGCACTTGCTAGGCAAGTGTTCTGGCCTTTCTTTTTACTTTAATTGTTGGATAGGGTCTCGTGTTTTGCCTGTAACTAGGAGTACAGGTGTTAAACCTGTACTTGATTTATTGGTTGAGATGGGGTTTCAGCCCTTTCTGTTTCATAGATGTTTGTTAACACCTGTTTGGTGGTTAGTCATTTTCATCTTTCCTTTTCATAGTTACTTTTTTCCTGTTACTCTCATTTAAAAAGTTGTTTGAAAGGAGAATGGAATTAAATTTTTGCATTTTTTGGCTGGGTGGCCTTTGTATTTGTTTTCTGACCATTTATTTTTATTTTGATAGACACTTCAGCAATTGAATCAGCTGAATTCATTGCATCAAGAAGCTATCATGAAATGCCTGAAAAGTAGGAAAGATGAAATCAAGCAGACTCTGTTGGGAGAAATAGTTGATATTTCTTCTGCACAGCTACAGGATTTTGATTGGCAGTTAAAGGTAAGAATGTATTTATGAGTATTTGGGGTTTTTTTGGTTTCCTATTTTGGATGTAGAAATATTCTTTTTATAATATATATCTAAAATTTGTTATTTTGAGAATATGTCATTCCAAAGAAATATCAAAGATCATTTAAGAGATACCTTTTGCATTAACTTGGACATAAGAACATTACAAGCATCCAAGCCTTGTGTAATAACACTGCATTGACAATAAGCTGAACTAGACCTTTAGTCATTAAGACGTGGGTATCATAAATTGTGGAATAGTATGTATTTAACACATATCTTTGGCTAGAGTTTTTAAGAGTTTTATAGCTTTCTCAAGATTGGTAAATGTAATGTTAATTGCTAGGAGGAAAATCTATCATATGTAATTAAAGCAGCAGTTTTCAAAACATTTTGAAAAGAGGGTCCTGATCAGTAGGGCTGATAAGGAGCAATTTTACTCCAACTTTCCATCCTTTATAAGGTACCTAGACTAGTAAATAGGAGGAAACAAATGTATTCTGTTTCTTGATTTTAGCATGGCCATGGATAAATTGTCTCATATTGTCTTTGGATTAAGTGGGGCAAAAGTTGGGAAAATAGCAATTAGATTGGTTCAAAACTGGATAGATAACAACCCCGAACAGATGAATTTGTGTTAGCCAAGGTCTCTGCAGTTTTGTCTTGGTTCAGCTCTTCTTTAACATTTTTATGAATATGAAACTTAACCAAATTTGAGGATAATACAAAGCTAAAGATGTAGTAAATAGACAAAACTAAAGCTTAAAATTATTTTACAGCTTATTACACTGATGGACCAAGTGAAGCAAAGTTAATTAATCAATGATAACCTAAGTAGGGGATTTTTCATTTAAATAAATACTTTATATCTTCATAAGTATGAAAGATGGGAGAGATGCTAATAATAGCATGTATGGGAAATAATTAGTTGCTTTGGCTTGCCAAAGTTTACCTTAATTGATACTGATCCAGCCTTAAGTTTTATTGGTAGAAATGCAATGCTTCAAGCAATGGATAGTTCTAATAGGTGCTGTTTCCAATAATAAAATATTTGATAGTTTAATCTTAGTTCTGGTCAACAAACTTAAGAGATATTTAAACAAATTGGAACCCCACCAGAAGAAAATGACCATGAATGTAAAATCATGGTACATGATAATTGCTTTGAAATACATGAGACCATGTATCTTGCAAAGATAAAACCTAGTAGAAATATGACAGTTAGTTTAAAAAGACTAACAGTCATTTGGATGGGAGAATAGATGTATGTGCAGTGACTCCAGAGACGAAGGCAAGGGCTTGGATATGTTATTTGTAAGTAGATGGGTTTGAATTCAACCTAGGGAATAACCTAACAACTGAGTATCTGGAAATGATTTTAACCCTTTCTTGAGTAGCCCACTCCTCATCTCTGGTGATAGCCAAGCCTAGGCTGGAAAACCATTTATGGGAGATATTGAAGGACATTATTCATAATATAGATCAGTGGAAGGTGATAATATGAGTCTTGTTGTGGGTTGAGCAAATGGAGAAGATAATGTTAGGGTTTGATTCCACTGTGCCTCACGTGTTTTGTCGGAGGTTGCTTGCTAGGTAAAGTGTCACTTACCATTGCACAAGTATTTTTTTAAAGGGATAAACTCCAGAGAAAGATGGAGGGTTGTCTGACTCAAATTCCAAGAATACTAATTTCCCTTTGAAGCTACATTGCTTGTTTCAAAAAGTATTAGTACAGTTAATACTGTATTAGATTTTTAGATTTCTCCATGATACATGTACTCTGGAGACAAACTCTTAAGAAGTGAAAAAAAAATGCATTGAGTGTTTATATTGATGGCTTTAATTTAAGATGGTAACTTGATAACATATTTATCAATAGTTGTTAGCTGATGATGCATTAAATTTCTTAATTTCTAAGTTTTATGTTTATATATAAAGTGTCATCTTCTTGGTATTTTTAACCTTTTTAAGAATTCTGTTTCTCACTGCCTTGGATGCATTCAGTACTTTCCAGAACTTTGTGATTTAAAAAATGACTATGATCCTTGAAACAAGAGCATCTTAGACAAATTCAGATCTAGATATTTGCTTCTCCACAAGACTGCCCACTGATGGTCCTTTTATCCCACCTACTTCCTCTCTTGTATTCACTTCCTTTCTTCTTCAAATATGAATGTGTATTGTTTTGACATGGATGTAATTGATTTTTTCTTCCTTTCCCAGTACTGGACACCAAACTAATACTTTTTAAAACGGACTGTTACTAAGCTGTGGCACATACTTAATGTTGTTCATTTTACTACTTATTAATTTTTTTCTTCCTAATCTTAAACAGCTTGCACTTTCTAGTGACAAGATTGCTACTTTACAAATGCCACTTTTAAGCCTTCATCTAGATGTAAAAGAAAATGGTGAAGTAAAACCTTACTCTGTGGAAATGAGTAAAGAAGAACTCCAGAATCTAATAAATTCCTTGGAAGCAGCTAATAAGGTATTTGTTTTATTTTATCATATAGTTTAAATGTCTTAAGTTTTGCTTTGTACCCTTAGAGCAATAAAAGAAAAACCCAAGGTTCACTTTTAATGTTTCTCATTTCTCTGATATTTTATGTCAAGCAAAGAAAATAGTCTGTGGACATGTTCTGATTTACAGTTTTAGGTTCTGAATTAATTATAACCTTAATTTTGAGTTACTTAATTTTAGGCATAACTAGTCAGCTGTTTTTGAAAGTAATAATGTTACTCTAACAGCTAGATTTGTTTTACTTCAGTGCTCATCAGTGATAATTTTTTTTTTAATTTGGGGCCATGAAATTAGTTGATTATAAAGAGGTTTTGTGATATCTATGATCCTGAGAAAAGGGGTGTATTTTTGAATGGACAAGTGGTACAAAATTATTTGCAGTCTTCTAAGTACAGGAGATAAAATACGACTTGTAATTGTGACAAAATCAGGTTGAGACGATAGAATTGATGAATGTTTAAAAACTTTACAGTTACAAATCAGTGACTAAATTGACAGTAAGCACTCCATAATGTTTAAACAGAAGAAACTTACTGTGAGGATGAAATAAAAACAATTATCTTTTGTTATGTGTGTATTCCTTTATTATCTGCTTAGTGTTTTTTCACCTCCCTGGCCCCTATTAGTTTTCTTGATACTTGTCCCTTTTAGAAACTCTAATAAATGTCACCTTTTTCCTAATACTCTGCAGTTACTCACACACTTTATTGCCTCCATGATTGGTTTTCATGCCCAGTAACCAAACTGGTAGCTCAAGCCTGGCTTGCCTTTGGATGGGGCTAAACATATGAAATTTGTATGCCTGAGTCTGTTGTTGATGCTGGTTGATCTGACACAGGTCTTGGCAGGCAAGTGCCGCCAGTTACTCTGCACTGTACTTGCTTGTTAATAGTTCTCCATATCAGATTTCAAAGCATTTAGCACATAATTTAGCCTTATTCTTGTATAACCTGATATTTATTTCCCACTCTCCTCTCCCCACCCAATTTGTGTTTTAAGGTGGTCCTGCAGTTGAAATAACCAGAAATTATGAATAGCAGTGCTCTCAGATTTCCCTGCTATGAAGGAGATGGTAGAGTGAACACTGTATGTCAGAAGCCCTGCCACGGTTGACTGCTACCCCAGGCTGAGAAAGCAGCAGTGTCAAGATTACAAAGATGACAATCTATCAGTGTCCCTAAAGAACAGGAAATTATGTGGTTGGTAGGAACTGCATAAAATGAAAGATAAAAAAGCTATAGTAGCAGTTTATATTTTCTTAATGGTTGTTTTTGTCTTCATTTATTAAATATGTAAGAAATCTTTGTAAACAATTTTATTGAAAGCCAAAAATGTGTCCTAAAGTAATGTAAACAAGCAAAGCACAAATATACTTGAATTTTGCTTAAATAATTATGTGAATAGCAAGGACGTGTATTACAGATATATAACTAATTTGTGATATTTAGAAATAACTTTTTTTAAAGAATGTATAAGCTGCATATATAACTCAGGAGATTCCATATCTTTCTCATATTTCAAAGAAATGATTGTAAAATGTAAAATTTTGTAGAGAAAACTCTTTGTTAGACAAGAATAGGAAAAAAAATCTAAATTTGTGTGAACAATTTTGAATTGATGAAGTGTGGTATGTAAAATCTATAACATGGAAAAATGAAAATATTTTTGTTCCTGCATTTCCATGTGTGATGGGGAGACTATGCTGTGATAAGAAGAGTAGATGCCACCATATAGTGTGTGTATTGTTATTCAAATGTCAGGTAAGACTATCTGCAGGTCCATTTTTGTTACAGATTCTTAACATTGAGTTTAACACTTTCAGATGTTAACAGATTCATCGCTAAACAAAACCATTTTTAACCTCAGCTGACTAAAGATAAACATGAGCAAATAAAAGTGTCATGTTTCATTTTTGACTATCACTTTATTTCAAATGACTTTCCGCATAAATCAGGAGTCAGTAATGTATAACTAATTGATGCCTGTGATTTGCACACTTTAAGGACTGCTAAAGCATCAGACTGTTCTTTGAGATGTCTAGAGCAATTTTTGCTGTTTTCATACAGGTGAGGGTAGGCTGAGAGTTTTATAAGTGCCTGACTGGTCTAAACAGTGCTACTTACAGTGCGTCTGCTCTAATGCTGCTGTGTGAACTATTTCAGAGGTACTCAGGCCACAGTGTTCTTCAACATACTACTTCATCAGTGACTTTTGATTGAGAAAAATGTATCAACTGAAGTAAATAGTTGCTTAGTGTGGCTGTCGATTTACTACTTGTGTCCTTGTGGGTCAATACCATGTTGCAAATCAACACATCAAGTAGCACTGATTTTGAAATCTCTTTGAAGCAGCCTTCCAGGCAAACTCTTTTTCACAGGAAAAATCTCTTGCTCTCTAGTGCCCCGCTATCATTCCATTAACCTGATTAACAGCTTAATTGAAATACAATCGGCATACTGCATAATGCACTTATTCAAAGTGTGCAATGCGATGTTTGATGTACAGATACTCATGAAAGCATCACCGTTAAAATAGTGAACATTTTTGCCTCCTCTGTAGCCTCTGTCCCTGCATCATTTCCCTACGTAGCCATTATCTGTTTCCTGTCACCACGGGTTAGTCACATCTTCAAAAGTTCAGTGTAAATGGGATCATACAGTATCTATTTTTTTGTTTATTTAGGTGCTGGGACTTGAACCCAAACCTTGTGCATGTCCTCTGCCACTGAGCTTAGTCTGTATTCTTTAAAACACAATGACTTCTTTCACTCATTTTGAGTTTTGTCCTTGTTGCATATACTAATAGTTCATTTTCATTGTGGAGACGTATTCTAAGAGTTCTGTCACATTTTGTTTATCTGTTTACCTGTTGATAGATGTTTTGGTTTTGTTTCAAGTTTCTGGCTATTACAGTACACAATATTGTGAATGTGTACACACATCAAAAATGTGTGGACATGATTTCTTTTGAGTAAATACTTTGGAATGAAATGGTGTGTCACATGGTAGGTTTATGTTTATCTTAAGATATGGTGACAAATTTTTTCAAAGTGCTTTTACATTTTATATTCCCACCACAATGTATGAAAGTTCCTATTTCATCTTGACAACACTTGGTATGACCAGTCTTTGTGATTTCAGCTATCCTAATGTGTGTGTAGTGCTATTCACTATGGTTTTAACACTCATTTCTCTAATGACTAACGATGTTGAGCATCTTTTAACATGCTCATTGCCATCAAAGCGTCTTATTGCAGCAAGGTGTCTGCTCAGGTCTGTTGCCCATTTTTATTTGGGTTCTTTGTTTACTTAGTATGGGTTTGAGAGTTTTTATTTTCTAAATGCAAGACCTTTATTAGATGCATGCCTTGGCACATATTTTCTTCCAGTCTTGAGGTTTTTCCTTCTTTTTCCCCTGTAAATATACCCTACTTATTTTGAAAAATTTTAGATTTACAGAAAGACTAAGGAGATGGTGTACAGAGTTCCTGTATTCCCCAAACCCATTTCCTCCATTAACTCCTTAACATTGGTATAGTACCTTTGTTATAATTAATGAACTAACAATATATTAAATAAATTCAAAACTTTATTCCGATTTCCTGAGGTTTTACCAAATGTCTTTTTTTATTCCAGAAATTAATCCTAAATACAATATTACATTTAGTTGTCACATCTTAAGTTCCCCTTGTCACAGTTTCCCACACTTTGCTTATTTTTCATGACCGTAACCCTTTGAGGAATGCAAGTGAGATAGTTTGTAGAATGGCCATTATTGAAATTAGTTTTGCTCTTAGACTGGGGTTGTGGGTTTTAGGGAAGAAGATCAGAGGTTAAGTGTCATTTTTCACCATAAAACAAGAGTACATATGATTAACATGACATATGGCTCGATGTTGAATTTGAGCACTTGCCCAAGGTAATATCTGTCAGATTTCTTCACTGTGAAGTTACTCTTTATTTCCCCTCTTTCCATACTATATTCTTTGGAAGGAAATTACTATGTTCACCCCGTACTTAAAGGAAAGGGGAGTTGTGCTTCCTCCCCAAGAGGTTGGTGTGTCTACATAAATCACTTGGAACTCTTCTGCACAGATTTTCCTTCATAAATCACTTAATGTTAGTATAGGTTCATGGATATTTATTTTATGCTTTGGGTTTTAATCCAGTAAAGGTTTTTATTACTCAAGTTGTCTCAACTTTGACCATTGGAAGGTCTTTGAGTTGACTCCTGTGTCCCTTTGACAACTCCCATCAGTGAGGGCTGTTTTTTGTAGGGGAAGCATTTTTTTTTAATCTTGCTTTTTTAAAAAGTATCTTCTGACAGCACAAGATGTTCTAGACTCATCTTGTATATTTCTTGCCCAACCCTAGAATCAGCCATTTCGCTTAGGATGCCTGGTTCCTTTTACTGATGTTAGAAATCAAGCCAGGTGTGCAGAGCTCACTACTACTGGAGGATGTTTCTCTTAGGCCCTCACAGAACAAAGAAATGTAAGTATATATCCAAGCCCATGTATATGCACATATCTAAATATATAACCATACATATCTATATTAAGTTTATTCCAGTGTCTGTTTCTCTATTCCATTACCATGTAGAATCATTCTAGCCTCCGACCCTTTTTTATCTATAAATTTATACTCCAGCAGTGAGAAACCTGACTCCTAATATGCATCATCTGTTTATTTAATTCCAGTGCACATAGGAAAAAGTATGGGAGTTGAATTTGTAATCTGTAGGCCTGGGAGAACTTACATGTGAGCTTTTGCCTTTAGTTTTGTAGACCACTAGTTATTAAGTCAGTTTAGATTCATGGATATGTATTTTATGTTTTGGTTTTAATACAATCCACCCTCTTCAGTGAGGTGGTTTTATACATTTGTAATACAGTTAGAATTTTTTTTTTTTTTGCCACAGTCTGTATAACTTTCTAGGATCCCTCAATTGCTAAATGATTTTTAAAACTTATATACCTGTGTTGTACAGTACAGTTCTATCACTTTGGACAAATGCATATTGTCACTTATCAAGCATAGTTCAACACCATAAAAATGCCTTAGTTTCACCTATTCATCCCTCTCTATCTTCATGCGAGCCTCTTACAACCACTGGTTTTTCAAAATACCTGTTTAGTGTTGCCATTCCCAGAATGTCACAATTGGAATCCTATAGTATGTAGTTTTTTCACACTGGCTTCTTTCACAGAACAGTATGTGCTTAGGTTTCCTCTGCATCTTTTCATGGTAGTTCATTGCTTTTAAAATCTGAATAACATTCCTCTGTATTTATGTATTAGCCATGCACCTACTGAAGGACATTGACTGCTTTCTCTTTTTGGCAATTGTGAATAAAGTTGCTGTAAACATTCCTAGGTAAATTTTGATGTGGATACAGGTATTCAGATTATTTGAGAAATACTTAGCAGTGTGGTTGCTGGACCATATTTTAAGACTATGTTCAACAAATAGCCAAATAGTTTCTCTCTCTCTCTCTTTTTGCAATACTGAGGTTTGGGATTTGAACTCAGGTGCCTTGTGCTCTACTTCTTGATCTACAAGATCACTAAGATTTCTTAGTTATTTTTCAGATAGGGTCCCACTTTTGCCTGGGGTTGGCCTTGGACTGTGATTTTCATCTTAAAAAATTTGTTAAAGCTTGTTTTGTGACCTACTGTGTGATCTGTCCTAGAGAACGTTCTATGTGTTGGTGAGGAGAATATGTATTCTGTTGGGTAGAATGTTCTGTATATATTTTTAGGGTCTGTTTAGTCTTTAGTGTTGATCACATCTTCTACTTCACTATTGATCTGTCTGGATGTTCTGTACATCATTGAAAATAGGGGTATTGAAATCTATTAATTGTGTTGCTGTTTACCCTTCAGTTCTATGTTTGATTTATATATTTGAGTGCTGTCATGTTAGATACACATATACTTATAATTGTCATATCTTCCTGGAGAGTTGAACCTTTTATCATTGTTTAATATCTTTCTGTGTATGTGTTGTCTTACGTAAATTCCCAATTAAAGGTGATTTATGGGTTTCTTTTATTAGGTACTCAATCTCTTGTTCCCTCTAGTGTCTGAGTGTGGTATTGCAGGTTCTCTGTAGCTGCTGCAATTTGCCTCACTCTCTTTACCATCAGCCCTCAGACTTCTGAAGTACTCCGTGCTCTAAGTCCGTCAAGAGACAAATCACCTGAGCAGTCCTGAAAACCAGAACATTGGACACATGCTCCACTCTTCTCTTCCACCTAGGGGAGGCTAGTGAGCTGTTGTAGCCTCTTCTGTTCTTGGGCCTCTAGAGCAGCAGAAAGCAGTTTCATCTTTTCTGTTCTCAGCAGGCCCATGGCATGTAGAATATGCCCTGGCCTGTCAGCCCTGTGAGGCAGAAACCTGTCATGTAGGCAGTCCCATGAAAAGCTATAACGTTGGACTTAGGTCCCAACCTTTCCTTTCCTGGGAAAGCCATGTCAGGGGATTTCCTTCCGTTGGATCCACACTGAGCTGGGTGGATAGGCTGTAGCAAGGGAGTGTCACAAATTATCCTGCTGAGAATGCTAGTTTTGTTCTTACCCAAGGCCTGAATATTTCCAAGTTAGTTCTTTGGATTGCTCACAAAGGGAATTTCTCTGTGTATTGTCGTCTTGGCATCTCCTTGATGGTGGGGATGAAGAAGATGAGTCAGGCTTCCTGCTCAGCCGTTTTGCTGATGTCACTTCACTTTGCATTTCTAGCATCAGTGAGTGAGAATTGGTATTGCTGTGCATTCTCAGAAGTCTTTGGTGTCGTCAGTATCTTGGATGGAGCTGTTCTACAGTTGTATCTACGTGGAGATGCAGTGGTGTCTCATTCTTGTTTTAATTTGCATGTTGAGCTTTTCATATGAATATTTTCTATCTGTATGTCTTTCTTCAGTGAGGTGTCTTTTCAGAACTTTTGCTTAGTTTTAATTAGATTGTTTGCTTATTGCTGATTCTTTAAGCATTCTTGTTTTGGACACCAGTGCTTTATTTTCTCCCAACCTGTAGGTTGTCTCTTTTTTTTCTCAACTGTGTCCTCTGAGGAGCTGAAGTGTCATCTGCCCACCCACTCCCAGCTGTCACACACACAGTGCTGAGGATCTAGGCCAGGGCTTGAGCATGCTAGGCAAGCACTCTACTACTGAGTTCATCTCCTGCTCCAAACTGAAGTTGTAAATGTTGATGAGGTGAGGTTGCTCAATTCCTTTGTGAGTTAAGGGTTTGGGATCATATTTAAAAAATCATTGTCTAACTCACATTAAAAAAGACTATATCCTATGCTTTCTTTCAGAAATGTTATAGTTTAATTTTTACATTTAGGTCTATTTTCCGTTTTGTGTTACATTTTAAATGTGGCATAAGGTGTAGGTCAAAATTGACTTTTGGCATATAAATTGTTTCAGTCTCATTCATTGGAAAGATGATCTTTTTTTGCACTGTTTATGCCTTTGTCAAAAATCAGCTGTCCATATAAATATATACATACATACATATATGTATCTAAAACTCTGTTTTACTCCAGATGTTTGTTTAGCTTGATAGCTTATACCATGCTGTCGTGATCACTGTAGCTTTGATGTCTTGCAATCTGGTGGTGGTTGCCGTCCAACTTTGTTCCTTTCCAAACTTGTTTTGGATATTTTACGTCTTTTGCATTTCCATATGAATTTTAGGATATCCTTGCTTTAGGGTTTATAATGTATTTCAGATAAGAAAGCTAACATTCTTATTTTTATTTCTCTTTATTTTATTTCTCTTTATCACATCTTTACTATTTAAATTTTCTTTTATCACTTGTTATATGCAATTTTTATTGTCATGCATTGGCAATAAAAATTTTCTTTAAGTTTTTTGTGTCTGCAGTTTGTTTTTTTCTTGGATCCATAGATTTATAGTTTTCATTAAATTTGTTAATTTTTCAGTCATTATTTCTGAATATTTTCCCTATTCCTTCTACCCTCTCCTATTTCAGAGACTCCAATTACATATATATTTAGACTGAAGTTCTCAATGGCTGACTGATACACTTCCTTTTTGTAAATTATTTTTATCTGTGTTTTATTTTGGAGAGTGCTTATTCTTATATCTTTAAGATGAGTTATTTTTTCTGCATTGACTAATGCACCATCAAATCCAGTATTTTTCTATTTCAAATATTCAAATGTTTTTCTTTCTCAGCTACGGAATTTTTTTTCTCTAGAAGTTCATACTCATCTTTTTTTGTAAGTATCTTTCAAATCTCTAATTTTTCACCATACAGCATATAGTTATGATAACTTTCCAATCTCTTAATTTTAACACTAATGTAGTTTTGATTGGTTGTTCTCCTGATGGATCCTGTCTTTGTTTTTCTTTGCATGCCAGGTATATTTTTAGTTGGACACCAGACATGGAGAATTTAACCTTATTGGATATTTTTATATTCTTATAAATATCTTGAACTTTTCTTTCCCCTCTTTGGAAACAGTGATTCCCTTTTGGCCTGCCTTTTCTATTGTTCTTGCATGATTACTCTTTAACTGCTTGCTGAATTAGTAAACAGTTTTTTTTTCTTTTGTTTAATTAATGCTAAGCATCTATCTTAGGTTTCATACGTAGCAAATCC